CAGCTGCCACAGCTCAACCAAGTTTGTTTTCGTCCTAAACCAACTCATTACGCTTTTTCCTCTGAACATTTTATCAGTTTCTAAACCAGTAGTAGCTTCTGGTTAACGTAGTTCCATTGGTATTGTTTCAGGTTGTGGGTCCAACAACTGGCTATCAGCAGCAAGTGTCTTCTGCAAGTCAGAACCTGTTTCAGTATGTATTTTTACAGTATCATATTTAGACGGGCCAGTCGAGTTACAAAAATTATTTAGATGTCAATTTATCATGCAGATTAACAATTGTAGGGTTAGCTAGGATGAAGTTCATAAGATGTAGTTAAAAAAACACACACACACACATAGGTAAGTAGCCTGTGTTTCATCCCTTAGCTGTAAACATTGACAGAGTAATGGGCGCGCCCAGAAGGAAGTAAAAAACTCTTTTTTCCTCGGGTTCATTTGCAAGCATTTTTCCTCCGTTATCAACATCGTGAAGGGTTGCATTTCGGTCATTTTAACATTCAGTGTACTACTACTAACTGTGCGCATTACTGCAGACTTACTCAGCCATTCGGTATGATGCCACAGCAGCAGCAACAGCAGATGCAGCAAGGACAGAGCCAGAACCAGCAGCCGCAGCAGCAACAGCAACAACAACAACAGCAGCAGCAGCCAAGCAATTCAAACGCAGCAAACTCACAACAGCATCAGTTTCAAGCTCCACCGCATTTCATAACTGGTTTGCAAAACTCAATTTGGGCGCCAGCTGAAACAGGCGCTGACGATGTGCGCTACACTCATCATTCGCAGTCATCTTCAAATCTGCAGCCAATGCAGAGGGTTTGTATTTATGTGATTTTTTTGTCAAAGTTCAAATTTCATTCCATATGCTTACTCAGTCGTAGAGGCAGAGACATCTGTAAGGAGCTCGGCTTTGACAGCATTCTATCAGCGCCATTTGCCCAATGACAAAGTTGCCGATGGCTCCTCCATTTCGATAGTTGCTTAAAAAACCACTTGATGACTGTTTTGTTCTAAGTTTACCACTGATTTTAATAAACATTAATTCATCAATATTCATATAAAAGGGAAAAAGTGCAGCGCATGTTTTCTGTGTTTCAGAATTCGCTGTTA